ACTGCGGAAAAATTAGGGGAGCCCAACATTCAAAAAAAAAAAAAAAAAAAAACTCATTATATATGTACGACCACATTCACCATCCTCGGGAGATGGATCGATGCGAGGTAGTAAGGAGGCGAGGGTGAACTTTGGGCCAACTTACAGACCGAGTATCCGGGGAGAAGCATAACAATTCCGCTCTGTGCCAAGGCCGAGAAGCAGAACAAATTCCCCTCGTTGATACTTCCAAATGCCCGAGCCAGAAAACTAACCACAATGGTGGCCGTCACCTCAAACACATTATTGTACATGTTTGATTTGGGTGTCACAATCAACTGCAACAACCCAACCAAACAGCCAAAGCAAAAGGCCAAAGGCAAGTCAATAAGTCGAGCGGAAAATGAAAACGGGGCACACGTTGCACTCGTCAATCCAAACACGAGGACCCGGATCCACGCTCGAAACTTGTCCCTGGCTTTCAAGAGCTCATCCAGTCGACGGGTACCCTCTTCCACACCAATGACATCGTGCATGACCTCCTTGTAGATGTGATGTACGTCTTTTAATTTTCCCAAGTCAATGCCTTGGGTGATGCGTACGATCCGGACCTCTGTCGTGTGGGTTGATCTATCATCAAATGAGATAAGCATACAGCCCGGCAGATATAAGAACTGGCCGTCGATTTCGAGAACGCGTGCCGTCATGGTAAGGTATTCTTCCAGACGGTGAGTGGGTGCACCAAAAAGCATGAGTGCTCGACATAGCTTGATGATGTATCCTTGGCGGGAGAGCGTTTCAGCAATATGCACAGTAATCCGAGCCTCTTCCTTCTGCCAGAAACCGCTTAGTCGATTACTGCTGGTTCTTCGTTTGGCACCAGGACGTTTTTTCCCCGGACTTTTTGGTTCCGGGGCTTGTTTGTTTGGATTAGCGAGACGTGTGGAAGCTTCCACAAGGTTTGCCAACGTGTCCTGGGACCGATTCACCTCGTACCATTTCTTGCGGGAGCTGGTGGGTGTAGCTGTGCCCGATTCCAGACTCGGGGGCGTAACGGCACCTGGGGAGGAGGAGCTCCAATTTCGGGAGTGATGCGCTCCGTGCAAGCTGGGCTCGGCTGGCTTGTACAGCTTCAAGAGCTGTGAGAGCACGCTTCCTCGATATTGCTTCGGTGGAGGGACATTGTACACACCGTCATAGAGTCCCCCGTTCACGTGGCTAGGTTGGACGTTTGCTGAGCTGACGATGACCTCTTCATCTGCTGAGAGAGCGTTTGCTGTAGCCGAAGCAAAACGGTGAGTGTGGGACCTGACAAGGTCGTATGCCTCTTCCTTCAACGCAGCCTCGTTGGTTTCGTGTTCGGGAGTTTGAGGCAGACTGTCCACAGCTGTGCCATCAGCCGCCAAGTTACGCAGAGGAATATGAGAATCACTGGGAAGAAGACCGCCATCGCTGGCAGCTGTCGTGGCTAGAGAGTCCATGGAAGCTCTGGATCCAGGCGGAGAGTCGCGCAAAACCTTGGCAGCAACTTGCTGAGCTCGTGCTTGAGCGACGGCCGCCGAAATAGCCTTTTCCGAAGTAGCATCCAAATCGATTCCCAGCTCCTTAGCTGTTGCTACGGATCCCGACGAATTTGCGCGAAGGATTGATGGCCTTAGTTTAGGAGAAGGCGTAGCCGTGCGCTCGGGTACTCGTGGAGGAGGTTCAAAGTTGATGACGGGCGGTTTTGAAGTCGTTGCATTACTGTTGAATCTAACACGACCCTTCTCTCGCCTTGCCGCGGCAACAGCAGCAGCTTCGGCCGTATCAGCAGAGGCCGAAGGAGGATAATAAGGAGCTGACATGGTTACTTGGGCAGCAGGCGGAGGACTGGGAGAGGTGGCAAATGGGTTTTGGGCAACATTGTGACTCTTGTCAGCATCATCGGCTGGAACTTGTTGATAAGTGTGGTGGTGTATTGCCGGATCGGGTCCGTACCCAGCATCAGACGCAGGAACTTCCTGAGCAGACTCCGACGGCGAGGCCATTGGCCCTCAAAAACCGAGTCGGTCCTCTCAAAAATGGCAAAAGGGTAGGAGATGGGAACAAAGTGTGGAGGCCGAGACAAAATGCCTTGGTGGGAGGACGAAAAGATGGCGGACGGGCAGAATAAGAGGATTTGTCTCGCGGCAGTCGTGGTGATCAAGCGAACGTGGCCAAAGACTAATACCCTTTGCGGCAAAGCTTCGCCCAGACTTTGCGCAAGTTACTACACAGCAGGCTTTACAGAAAGGGTAGAAGCTGTCGGAAATCTGAGGATAGCTGGTCAAAGGCATGTGGAAACAGACAATTTTGTCTCTGGAACGACACGGATGAGAGCCGAATGTGATGCGTCCCCATGCCCATCATGTCTTGCCCAAGCCCCTCTTGCCGTTTTTACACTCCTGGTCTTGCTTGCTTCCCTCCATCCTTCGCTTCCTTGCGTCTCCTCTTTCTCCTCCTTGACCGGACCTCACGATACCCAACACGTAACACGTTGGCTAGAGCAGGGCCATGGCGAAGCCAGAGCAGGGCCAAAGCATGGCACCCTTGGTGTAAAGTTGGAACTCACATAGTAGAATCCGCACATATATGCACCGTATACCCGGGAGTGCCGTTGGAGGTATGTATGGGCGGCGGCTCGAGATGGCCACGCCGCCGCCATGCCGTCCATGTTCTAATATTAAATTAACGGCAGCCTGCACGCACCGAGCCGCCGAGCAGGAGGCGAGTCATTGGTCCACAGCGCGCAATCCATCCTGGTTCTTTTGGTTTGCTAGCTCATGCAACTCCATGTCGGAGCTTGGCACGAGATCTGACTACCTGTCATCGAGTCTCTACTTCTTTGCTTCTTCCTTACCTGGCGATCAAGGTAGCAAAAGGTAGCCCGACGGGAGGGGGAGGAGTCACGAGAGGATTCGAAATTGTATATTGTCGGCGTCCATGTCCCCCGATACTAGGGCTCGTACTGTGAGTAGACCTTCCAAGCCAGAGTGAACAGGCCACCGACGTCAAACTGTGCGGAGGTCGGACCAGGCGGCTTCGTTCCAGACCACACGGGACAAAAAGGATGGCAAGCTTTTGCTAGCCCCTTTTGATTTCTCCTCGGGGAATTACAGACGGCGTGTGTTCTGTTTCCGAGCGGACGACGGCGAGGAGCCAGGAGTCGACGGCCGTGCCTGGATAGGGCAACAGGGCTTGCGTTGAAGATTTAGCCACCAGACGGTTTCGTAAAATTTCCCGCGCCTCGTTGGGCTCGCTGGCCATGTCGACTTTCTTTGGTCGAGTCACCTTGGCTCCGGAAGCCCCACTTTTATCTTCTAGCTTTTTCTTCCTCCTCTTTTTTTGCCTGCCTCTGCAGCCATCACGAGCCCGTGGACATTTGGCATCCTCTCTGGGTCCCCGCCGTCATGTGCTTGGGTTCGTCGGGCTTCCATACTTCTCTAGCCCTTGCGCCAAGCTATGTTATCCTGTGATACTTGACTATATATTGTACGTGGCTGCTTTCGTCCCCAGCTGTTGATTGGGGCTGGGGCTTGATCAAGGCTCGCTTGAGGCGTCTGCAGGTCCTGGTCCGGAGATCTGGGATCAATGATGCATCACCTCGATGTGTTTCCGGTAGAGCACTGTCCGGTGCTTCTTCTTCTCGTCGACATGGCCTTGGAATGCCAAAAAGAGGCCTGTGCCGCTACCAAAGCCGTGTTCATCACCTGGTGCCGTTTCTCTTCCCTGCGGGACCGTCATTCGCACCGGAGCTTGTTCATGAGTCTTCAGTCACGCAAACCAAGAAAATCCATCTGATGCGCTAGCCAGCCACTTCTTTCTTTTCTCGGCAGCAACCGCATTGTCCTTTATTGCCTCCGTGCTCTGCCAGAACGCATTGATATTCCTTTCGCTTCACCTGGCACGTTGGGTGGTTTCCGGGGTTTCAAGTTTGCATGCGCCGCAGGTCCATGTTTTTAATATTGCTAATCCAATGTTGGGCTTTCATCACGACCTTAATGCCACTTCGTACACGGCGCGAACCACAAAAACCGGCACTGTGTATTGCTAGTTCCTGGCAAAGCCCCCGCTTGAATCCCAGAGGGGAAACCATCATGCAAACATTACATCCGACAACCGGCGAGTGGTCCAGTTCGCCCAGCTCTATCCAGCTTGCCTAGCTCAGAGGCAAAGAGGGAGGCCGCGGCTCGATCGTGATGGTTGAATGTGGCACCAAGGGGGCAAACAAGGACAAGGGCGTGCCATCAATCCAAGCTTGCTCGTGTCCGGGACGAACGGGAAAAGGGAGACGGCGACTCAGCCACCTGTTGACGAGTTGCCTGAGCCTGTGCTGGTGACCCAGGTTGCCAAGCCTGCCAGCACGTCAAGGAGAGTGAAATAGAAGTGAAAGTGACATCCGCACTTCCTCTGGCAGGAAACAAAGTTGAGCTCGTCATGGCAGTCGATTGGGTGGATTAGTCGCGTGCCCAATGTATTGGCTACCTCATCCATCATAAGCTTGCAGCCATGGTTGATAGAACATTGCGACGACTTTGAGATTGGCCACATGAAACAAGAAAGTTTATCCATAGCGTGACGCTAACTTGCCCGGCCTGGTAATCCATACCTGAGATCTATGGCCGTTGTCTCACTCGTGATGACTCGATAGCAGCTACGGCCTTCTGCCAGTACCATCCGGACACCCTGAGACAAAACCGTCTTGCAGCAGATTACTTGACTGTATTACACAGCGCTGGCAATGGCATGGGACGCCGTCCAACACGTCGCCATTGGATGTTCACGTCACGGGGGCCAGGGGCCAGCATAGCACAGAGAAGCTCTGCATAGCATGGCAGTGCCCAGAAAGGAAGAAACAACATGAACGATGCAAACATAGGTAGTTTCACGTCAGTCGTCCAGAGCGGTTCCTGTGATATCAAAGTGACGAGGCATGGCACACATCTCTTTGTGGCTTTTTGCAAGGCATGGATGGGGCTGCATGTCTCCCGCGATCGTCCCCTTTCGTCCAGATGACCTCTGGTTGGCGCCTATCCCGCGCTGTCTTCGCCAGATCTCTCCAGAGCCCCCGAGTCCCTGATATCCCGAGGCTGCTCAGACCAATCTAAATTCTGCACATCTCCAAACTTGGCCACGGTCACAGGGGGTTGCTGCGGGTCGCTTCCCATCCACTGGGAGGAACTTGAGACCCCAAGTTTTCTATGCTCCACTGCTTCTGCATCTCACATGTACGTCCCGCGTAGCGAGAATTTCTCCACAAATCTGTGCTCTATCGATAAACCCACGTGACCGTTTCTTATCGCGCAGAGGGTTTTTTTTTTTTTTTTTTTTTTTTTTTT